AATCTACAGAAACTTTACGATTGATATTGTTTTGATTGTGACGGCGACGGCGAGAGGGCAGTCTTATAAATACGAATAATCAGCATAAAAATGGGAAAACAACCCCGAAAAGAGACAGAGATAAGTCAGCATTTGTATGAGAACAAATATACCGAATATTTGGGCTCTTTGTCTAAACATTTGTCTCGATTTGTGTGGGGGACTAGCCTTGACTTTCACACAGAAGTCTTATCAGAATCTGAACGTGCTGATCGAACGATTTGGGGACCCAAGGCGTAAAATTCCGAGACTCAGTAAAATTTACTTGTATGTGCATTGTTCGGCGTACCTATATCTTTGATCGCACCTTATATTGATCATAAACGTAGGCTGCACCCTCTTCTTCGAACAAAGGCGGCAATCTTATCAGCAACTAATTTGTCACCCCAAAACAATGAGAATTGTAAAAACAAAAACCCCCATTGTCGGCCCATCCATTTTGTGAAAAAAACCAAGGCAAACACTAAAAAATAAGAACTCAAGTCGTTGTAGGCATATAATTAATAGTTGAATAAATCATATTGATAGTCATTTGATGGCTTCTCAGATGTTTTTAATGACATACACCAGCCACATACTTACATATGAGTATTATGAAACCAAGCGAACGGACAATCAATCACACGCCTAAGTGCATCGTCATTAAGAAATAAAACAACGTTTATAGAGATTGATAATTTGAAGGGTTTCATTTCCCACTTGTCTAGTAAACTTGAGCAATTGTTAGAGTATTTGAAGTTCTTGAAAGTATTTTTCACTAAATGGGTTGCACACAAGGCAAAGAATTTTTCCATACTCTTTGGTGGAAAAAACTGCCAACCGCAAAGCCACAAAAAGAATATCATTCGAAAATACCCATAAGCTCGGTTTACCACTGAGTTATCAATCCAAAGTTTTGTAGTTCAAAAAAGTGTATTAAAATACTTTCTTATTTCTCAAGATCATTACATCAAAAACCTTATAGTTAATACTCCCGATGATAACTTATTACGAGGTACTGATACACAATCATTTTTGTTTCTTCGCAAAGTATTTGAAATGTCATAAAATGTCACGTTGATAGATTTTGCACGTAGCACTGGTAATTAAAAGCATGTAATATTTTAGAGAAACAACTTTAGTGCTCCCTTCTATTTGCAAAATACTAGTCAGTAGCTAGTCATAAAATATCCTAGGAAAGGTACTTACACCACAATGGTGTAAGAACAACAACCCTCGAAGAGCCGGCGAGCCATCCATTTAATTTATCGCTAAATATAAATAAACTTAAATGAAAAGACCACTTAAGACCCGGACACTTGACTTATGGGGCTCTAGGCATTCGTATGCGGGTTATACAAGCGGGGCATTGATATCGCCGTGGACAACTTAAGACCCGGGGGCATTGAAAAGTCAATTCTTTGGGGACTTTCCCGGTAATTCCCTGATAAGACAAAGCGTGAGGTTAGGCGATGGAAAATAATGCAAATTTTATGGCATTTAAGTCAAGGTTCGGGGGGTTTAAGACCCGTGATTGATCAACTAACAAAGGCAACATTGTTTACTTTGTTTAGAGTTGATTGTGAATCATCTTGAATGTCTCATATCTGTAATATTTTAGGCCAAGGATTGATTAACTTAGTAAATAGTGCCTAAACAGGTAGAAAATGATTTATTATTTATATCTTTTCTAAAGGACAGTGTGAATCATCTCTATACGCCATAGCTATCTTCAGGTCAATATTTATTATCAAGTGACCAAGAAAATCCACAAGAAATCACGTGTCTGGCTACCAATAAACCTCTTTGTTTGGCATTATCTCGGCCGTGGGGCTAGTATTTCCCATATATCAAGCATAACCAACCCCAGTGCTCCAGATAATGACGCGAACACATGCAATATCTATCTGAATAGATATATGGAGCTTCTTATTTTTCAGTCACGTACCGTACATACAAATTGTTTTGGTTGTCTCCTCCCGATTCGTACCGTTTGCTGTTTATCAATTTGCAATTCCCAATTTTGGTGGCTTTAATTAATACTAAAGATAGTGCCCGACTAGCCTGGTTAGTTATTGTATGCCTAACCTTCGGTTATAATTTTCGTGCGCTTGCACAATTCCATAAATTTAAAAAATAAAAAGCATACCGCACAGCTGCGAGCTGCGATTGAAAGGCAACAAATTGAAATAGATTACCAACGATATCGTTAAATTTATGAGTGTGTGAGCCACATTAGCTGGATAATTTATGGCTCTGATTATGGGCCATTCGGGCTAACTAAAAGTGGACTAACGTGGCTCCGTCGACCAATGTCTTGACCTTCAGCACTCGAAGTTCTTTGAACGTAGACGATAATTTCCCATCAAGCGATGAACTCGCCGCTGATCCGATCCACAGATTCATTCAAATTAGTGACTCACAAAGTGAAGAAGCGCCAGCCAGCCGAGCATGTCTGATGTCTCAATATCGGGGCTTTAGACTCTGTTAGAGCCAAAGTGCCAAAAAGCATTTAACATTCATTTCTGCGCCAATAAACGCGCACAATAACAATATATATAGTAGTACGATCGTGTGCTGATCATCAATCAGGTGTTTCGTTCACTGTGCTCAGAATGGACAATGGTGAGAGCTTTCTCCGCAGTTTCCACAGCTCCAGATTAAAATCGCAGTATGTCACCGAGCGCAGTGTACACTGTACACCACGGCGTATGAGTATTCCGCCCGGTTAGAACTAGTGACGAAGCAGGCAGCTCGTGACTGGTTTGAACAATGGACAATTGTTCGCCGGCATGCGCATGTCAATGACCGTTTCACCACCTCACCCTCACCCCTTTAGATCAGCCAGATATATCTATATCCATATAGTATATGCCCACAGAAAACTATAGAGAGCACAGAACGCATGAGTTTCAGCTGCCACAGCAATGTGTGTTTGTTATCTACGCAGCTTATCTGCAAAATATTTGCCAAACATAAATAAATGGCGCCCAATACAAAGTAAAAGCAAAACGGTGGCAATAGTGTCACCAGTTTTAAAACAAAAGCAAAACTAAGCTGGCAAATTAAGCTATATTATAATATGTTCTATTTAAAGAGCTAATTTTATAATATATATTTTTTTTATATTAGCAACAATTTACAATTAACTTTTAACCAGGAAATAACAAAATATTTATTTTTTTAATCATTTTAATTTAACAAATATTTAAAAATAAAAATAGTTGAATACAGTTGGAGGAAATATATTGATACAATAAAAAAAGAAAACAATTTTAATATTTTTTTATAGTTTTTGGGCTAAGATACTAATTGAAAAATCGGTAAAAAATAGTTAAGCCAACAACACTGGCAAATAAAATTGGTGCAAAAGAAGTACAAGATACCAAACAACATGGCAAAGTGTATTAACAGCTTGTTGTTGACCTTAAACGTGCCCGGTTTCGCGTCCATTATGGCCAAAGCCCATAATGCAAATATGCGGTAGTTAAATTGCACATTGCAATAATGCAGCAATATTGCGCATACAATGTTCAGCTACCATTAATAAATAAAGTCACATGTTAATTATCAGGCAGTGGCACGTCGTCCACTGGCACCACTAATTTCAATATTTGCAGCAGCTGTTGGTGCTGGGACAGATACAAAAACAGAAACAGAAACAAAAATAACAAACTCAGCGGCGACCTGCTTTGTTCAAACAGGTTTTAATATATACAATACATTAAGAGAGGTTTACGTAGCCAACGCGGATCACGTGAAAAAATTATCCACCGCTGGCGGTGAAACACTAACAAACTGAGAAATTAGCAATGTCTGGATGTTTGAGACAAAGGAAAGGCAAATAAAAGTGCGCTAACTGCTGTTCATTTGAAATGCGCGCCAATTTGTTGAGTCAGGGTGGCAGCGCCAGGCAGTTTTTGAAATATTGAATTTAAAATTGTAAAAATTACGGCTTTTAATATGTAGAGTATTAGACTTTCCAATTCATAATTCATTTGTATTACTGTGACACAAATGAATTATGAATTATTATATGAATTAATACATTACTCAAGAAAGATTATAGAATTATCATATGATGATCTTTTTTAGGGAACCTATATTTTTGTAAGAAAGGTATAAATTTCAACATTGATTAATAGCACACTATGAATCAATCAAATTCGATTTGTAGTCATTATATTTGTGGGCTTTTAAAATATTTTTTAAAAGGGACTACAAATCTTTAAAAATGTGGGATAAATCGAAGTAAAGGTTAAAACTGCATATATTCCCCACTTTTTGAATATAAAACAAGTTGATGCAATTCAAAACGGGAAATTGAATTTTTAGCCATTAAAAATATCAACAACACGAGTTCTCTCATTTGAAACTTCCCGCCACCGTAGTGGTAGTGCTGCTTTTCCGACGTCCTTCTGTCGAATATATCGATAGTATCGCGAGATTCCAGACCATCTCTACAGCAAACGTAGTAAACAGAAAAAATTGGATTGGATCGAAAAATTGCAATAAAAACAGAGCCACGGCACTCGCGTGTGCAAATATTAGCGCAATCAAATCGGCAGCGTGAGAAGTGGGCGGTTTAATCGGTGGGAGGTCGTCGTCTTCGCCACCCACTCCCACTCTCTGCCCGTTTCTCCCATCTCGCCATCTCGCTCGCTCTGTTTTGAAAGGCCTGCCATGTGTGTGTGAGCTGGGGGCTCCGCTCGCGTGTGTGTGGGTGCGGTGGAGTAACTGTAACGGTTGCAGTTGCATTCACCGTTGCAGAGGAGCGGCGTTCGGGTGAGTGCGCCGAATAATTAATAAACGCGGAAATTAATCGCTTTTTAATTTAGTCGCCCCAACACAGCCCTAAAAATCAGTGTCTGTAGTACACGTACATATTTACATATTCTTGCTGTGTTTGTGTGTGCGTAGCGTATTGGCCATGACATCACTAATATTGTAAATCCAACTATCTCTTTTCGAATCCATTGCAGTTCCAAGAGATCGTGCCCGACATGGATGACTCCGAATTCATGTTCAACGAGAAGCAATCGATCCGGGACTCCGGGCGCACCCTGAAGCGCTACGGGAGCACCTGCTGCAACAGCCTCCGGAACAACGAGACCCTCATCCGGCACATCGTTGAGAAGACGGACACGCTGCAGGGCATCGCCCTCAAGTACGGATGCACGGTGAGTTTGGAAGGGGTCAATCCTCTGGAGAAGTCATCAACCCATTCCACATTCGATTGGTATATGGAAGCATACAGTGTGTCTTATAAAAATACCACTTTCAGGAATAGTTTTCCAATTTTTTTTTAAAGATTTAGTGCCGTTTTCTTGACCGCCTGTTATATTTAAAGGAAGCTTTAAACACTGATTTCCCATACGATTTCATGGCTTTAACCGTACTTTAAACTTTAGAAACGGACGAAGAATGAAGATTTGCCTTGAATTTAATTTAAAATTCCTATTGTCAATTAAAAATTTTTAAATTTAAAATATTTCAAATTACATTACATTACTACAATTATTGACAATATTTTCCTGTTATCTGTAAAAATCTTTCCTACTAGTCAATTAATAAATCCAAATTCTAGGAATGATAGACTCTTAAGACCCAAGCCCTGAACAAGTTTAATTAATTTAAATTGGTTATAAATTTTGGTTTTTCAACCAGACGTATCCCATAGTAATTTCACTATTTATGTTGAAAATTGACATTGCACATTTGCAGTTGAGCCGTTTGAAAAGGAAGCTCCAACAGTGCACCAGTGGTATTTCCAATTTAAACTCCCTGAGATTTACAACAGTTTTCTCTTCAGGTCGTTATGGAAGCTCCACTAGTGCGGCTTGTATTTATGTTGTAATCCCAGTTAGTTAGTATCAATTATTAGTTTTACTACTCCCCTCTGCCAGTTAATGGTTATTATTTCCTACTTAGCAACAAAATTTTTTCTTTCGCGAATCATTTACGGATAAATAACGGCAAATTCCCATTAAAAAAGATTTTGGAAATTTGGCACTTTAGTGGGGGTGTTCTGCTAAGTTGATATCAACACCCCCATCTCATAATTTTAAAAATAATTGAGCGGCAAATTTTTTTCTTTCACGAATAATTTACGGATAAATAACGGCAAATTGTCGATAGAAAAAAATTTGCCTTTTCAAAAGTTGCATTGCTAACTTTATGCATATTAAATATTTTACTATTGGTGTGAATAAATTTCACAAGAACCTAGATTTTACTTTTATTCTATTGTAATACCCTAACCTTTTCCAAACTTGATTAAATCTTTTTGGCCTACACTTTATGCCACTAAGAAGGGTTAGCTGCAACAATTCCAAAGACCATTGCTGACACGCTAACCCTTTTGAATTTTAAATGTCAGAATGCAACCCTTGAACTTTCGTATTTCAAATTTATTTCAAGCCAAAATAAGCTTTAGATAATTCTACCTAAAAAAAATAATTTTAAAATTTAAATGTCAATAAATTTTAGTAATTAATCAATCAATTTTGTCAGAATGATCTAACCAAAAATTCTGTCTAAAAAGTAACTGGAAATGTATTTGTGCCACTTGAGGAAGGCCAAACCAATTACTGTCACGCTATCCTCGCAACTAATTTATTTTTTATAGGGCCCTCCAAATCATTTTCAAATTATGAATCTTGACGAATTCATTTCACCATGTCCATTGATTTATTGCACTCTTGGGGAAGCTTTACTAGTGCTGCAATCACGCGACCCCGTTGCATTTTAAATGTCAACTCCCTGGGATTTGAATATATCGATTCAATAGTGGCAATGTGTTGCCCGGGTAACTCCCATCCATCCCCAACCCCAACCCCAACCCCATGTCATTCTGTTCCTTCTTGGAATTTACGACCGAACCCACACCTTCCCACAACTGCGGGGGATGTGATAAGTCGTCTAGTGACTTGGACAAACAGAAGATAGCGACATGTGAGAAGGGACAGTCAGTCTAGAGACTAGTACCTAGTTTATCAGACTTGTTATCGCAATGGACCCAAGAGACCCAGAAAATGCTGCAGCCCCCTATTTAGACACACTCTTTCTCTACCTGACAGATTGCTGCATATAATTTACTGGTCCAATATTTGCCTAAAGTCAGATTAAGTTTATTGACTCGACGAGTCTGAAATGTCGCTGTAGGCCAAAACAGAATATCGTTGCATGCCACTTGACCCGATTGGCCATATATGCGTCTTGGCCGGCTCATCCATCCGTCGATCAATCTCATCCATCAATCATGTGTCAGCGGCGCAATTGCCCGTAATTGATGAGCTCCTCCAACTTATTTACACACCTGTATGTATTGTATGCATTTCAGACGGAGCAAATAAGACGGGCCAACCGCCTCTTCGCCTCGGACAGCCTGTTCTTGCGTCAGTTTCTCTTGGTTCCGGTGGAGAAGAACTCGCCGTACTATCCCCAGGTGCCGGGTGACTCGATAGCCGCCTTCGATGCCGTTCTGGCCACGCCACCGGGCACTCCGGACGCCAATGGCCAGCGGGAGGCGCACAACAATGCCAACAATCTGAGCGAGAGCAGCAACAGCTTCATGAAGAGCAACGACATTAGCAGCAGCAGCAGCAGTAGCAGCAGTGGTAGCAGCAGCAGTTGCAACACAAGTGGCGCCTGTCCAAGTCCTGGAGGATCGCGTTCCGGCGGCAGCCAACAGCAGCAGCAGCAACAGCCCCCGCAGAGGCCGTACTCCATCGCCGGGGAGCTGCTGGTGGTGCAGGCCGGAGACGAGGATCCAGCCATGATGCACGGCCACGGCGGATGCAGCGGAAAGCAGAGCAAGAGCCTGGACTCGGTGGCCGCGATGACGCCCGAGGAGGAGAACCGGAAATGCATGAACGACTTCCTCAACAAGATCGACAACACCATTTCCGAGTCGCGCAAATATGTGGAGCGCTCCAAGGAGTAAGTATTGTAGTTTTATAAGATGATTATATCGCAAAAATAAATTTTAAATATATGTATTTATTGGTTATTATGGGACATAGGTTTTTAAATAATTTGACAACTAATCAATCACAATTTAAGATCGTTCAGCTGTCGATTCTGGTTTATGTTTCACTTCGGAAATCAATCAGTTTTAAAGTAAATTATCTGACAGAAGTTCTATCGAAGAGTCATTAGAAAAATAAATCAATTTATGTCTGATCATAATCTTAATTGAATGCGGAATATGTTAAATGCCTTATTTCAATTATACGATAAATAAAAAAAATAATTACCCTTCAATTTGTATTGGTTTATCGACACTTAATGATAGAAAATGTAGTACTGAAAGTAAAAAGTAATGAATTTAATAAGTCTTTGGATTTGGTGCCAAATAAGCCCGCTCTGCTTTCGTCTCTTTTACTTAAACTGCATTTACTAATGGATTATTTTATTTCTTCCAGCCTGGTCAACAGTCAGAGCGATGCGGACATCTGCATCAGTGCCAGCGCCGACTTCTTCCCGCAGCGCCGCCATCCGCTGAACAACTCCTACAAGACCAACAACAACGACCGTCCTCCGCAGTTTCAGCGGCACAGCTCCACGGGCAGCGGAAACTCCTCGGACACGGCGCACCTGTTGAACACGACGCAGACGCGACGGGTCCAGAATTCGCTGAAGCGACTGGAGAAGCAGCAGGACGACTTCTTTGAGTTGTAGCACCCGTCTGCGGGTCGGAATCTAGCCTAATTACGCTGAGAGTTAATTTTACAATTCGTTTTAATTGCCGCGCATCGGGGAAGATGACTTCTGTCAGCATGTTACATCACACGGAAACGCCGCACTCTAAATGTAATATAAATAATGATATATATATCGACACGTATGCGCGATACCTTACCTATACGATTAAACATAAATGTAACTGAGCTAAAACCTAAACTAAGCGCTGCGCTATGCAAACCTGTAGTACGATGACAAGGCAGTTCTGTCCCCCATTCTTCTTTTTTTTTGATCTTGTGTCAGCCCTGTATAATTGCCGCCAATTTGCTTGCAAGATCCGATCTGGTCCGCATCAAACCGATCCGGAAGCCTTCTGTACTCCTGTCCTCCGCCCCTCCTGCCCCCCATTATGTTTACTTTTTGTATGACTCTAGCTTTAATCACACTGTGTATAATTTAGTTATGAGAATTATTAATGTTAATTGTATATAGTCGCCAGAAAACACAACAATCCCTGGACTGTTCTGACCGCTAACACGAAATTGGCCAACTGTTGACGTGTAATTTTAATTTATTCTTTAGCTTTCCAAAGTATTAAACCGCAACTGAAAATAAATACCGTTCTATAAAAAACTGTAACCTCAATTGTTAAAAACAAGCATCCACCACAAAAAAACAATCTAAATATCCCAGAAACCTCAATATCGAACTGCACTCATATCGAGCCAAGTCATGTTGTACGTGAGAATGTTTTATAAAAATAAAGTGAGAATTGTGTTGGAACAAATGTTGTGTGTTAATGAACCACTGGAATTCCAGGTGTTGGAGCATGCGCAATATGCGAATTAAAAATAGTCGATCCTCGGAAATGTAAACTACCATTAGAGCCCTGCGTGAATCATTCAATTTTTGTTTAATTATAGTATGCCATGAAATTTCTGATTTGTTTAATTCAATTCTATGTGAAATAAATTAAATGTTTTTCTAATTCATTTCGAAGTGATTGAATTAATAATTTTTATGAATTTGCCAAATTTTTTTTGTGCTTTCTTTTGAGAACATAAATTGGAAAATTTTTAACAAATCAATGTTAACTGCTCAGTAAATAAAATTCAGGCAGATTAAATCACAAAATTATGGCCCTTTCTTCTTCAAAAGAAATTCTCGTTTGAATTATTTCGGAGTTCATGCCATTTAATTCTATTAAACTCAAAATTAAAATTCCTTAAATTCTATTAAACTCAAAATTCGAAATAGTTCATTATTATAAAACAAAAAATGCAAAATAATTCATTGAATCCATTCATGCAGGGCTCTAACTACCATCTTAATTTGAATTTTCAAAAGCAGAAGGTTGGTAAATTAGGGAAGTTCGACTGTAGCGTTGCCAGGACAACGTGGCCGGGACAAACAAACGAATCCGAACGGTTAGTTAACATTTTAATTCAAGAAAAATAAGTGAAAATGTCGGACAAAGATCTGGATGCCATTATCCTGGTGACCCAGAAGGTTTTGGGCAAGTACCTTAAGAAGCCTCCGCTCACGGAGAAGCTGTTGAAGAAGCCACCATTCCGGTTCCTCATGGACGTCTTTAACAACGTAAGTGGTTGTACATTTTCCACACTTCTAGAGTTAAAAAAATGACTTCTTTATGGACAGTTTATCAAGCAAACTGGCAAGTTTGAAGGTTTATATTCGCCAGATGAGCAAATGTTTGAGAATATTACTAGTCGGGAGGATAAGATACGATATCTGCAGAAAATGATTGATGCAATTAGTGAGTTTTTATTATTTTTCAGGGGGTTTCTTTGATATATAATCGACTGTTTAATTTCCCACAGAACTAACCACTAAGTTGGAGCTCAAAGTGCGCACCTCGAAAATAGTCGCTGGCCAGGAGCCGGAACTCACCAATGAGCTGCTCCAGGCGATGGCCAGTGTAGCGGAAAAGAGTTTGGAGTGGGAAGGCGTTGTGGACCAGGTGGTAATTGCCCACAGCAAAACTCCACTGGCCATCACGAAAAACCCGAAGGAAGCTAAGAGTTCCAGCAAGAATCCATCGCCCGCCGGCAAGGAGGAGGATCCAAAGCGACGAAAGGACAAACGTATTTCGCCACAGGAGCAAAAGCTGCGCAAGGCCAGCGAACAGCCATCCCGATCTTCTCCTCCAACGGAGAAGGATAAGGCAACCCAGAAGAAGTCAAAGGTAGCCAAGGATGATCCCAAATTAAGCAAGCAGAATTCAAAGCAAAAGAGTCCCTCGCCGGTTAAACTAAAGTCGAAAACCAAGGTGCAGCTTTCCACCGAAAGCGAAAATGCCAGCATGTCCATGTCGCCAGTGCCAGGAGGAGTAACCAAGCAGTCAGCTCCTGAAGCTGTTCCAGCCAAACAAGAGCAGGAAATGGTAAAAAAATAATGTTTTAAAATATATGTTTCAAAATAACAGGGACCGTAAATAATCGTTATTTGAGATTTTTATTTTAAAAGGCCTGCTTAGATTTGTACAAGTTTTAATCAACAATTTAACTGGTTTTTATGCACTTTATATACATGAACAACTAACAGTTAATTTGCTTTCCAGATTTGTTGACATGCACATAGGTATTTTGTGGACAAGAGTAAAAAGAACGTTATTTTTGATGATTAAAACAAAATATCACAGTAGTCTTTTTCAAATAAAAATCTTAAATAACGATTATTTACGGCCCTGCAAAAAAACAATAAGTACTCCTTATAAGTTATAACCAAATAGGTTTCTCCTGCAAAGGCAAATGAGGCGTTAGTGGAACCAGCCCAGGAAACTCCACAGGCTCCTGCCCCATTGGCTCCACCACCTGAGCCAGAGAGTCGCAAATCCTCCAGCAGGAGTCGCCGTTCCAGTGGTAGCCAAAGACAACCAGAGGCTAGTCCCACTGAAAACCAATCCCAGCCAGCGGAAAGTAATTCTCCGCCCGATTCCAACAGCGAGGTGAAGCGGGAGATTCCCATGTCCAGAGAGAACTCCAAGGAATCCAATCAACGACCCAGAACCTCACTTAGACCTCCATCCGCTCGACCAGCCTCCGCACGTCCAGGAGCTCCGCGGCGTCGAAATGTGGAAATCGTACTTCAACCAAACGATCAAGTCAAGATGTCCGGGATTAATGTCAAGTTGGAAACCTTTGGAGATCTGGATGATGATGGCGAGAACCTGGTGATCATAGAAGATGCCACCGCCCATGACATTATCGAAGGCGAAGGTGGAGCCGAGGAACCTGTTCTGGAGGGCCAGCTCGATGCTCAGGGTCGACTGGTGCAGCAGATCTTGGAGACCCAAAAGGAGTTGGTTCATCAAAATGCCGAAGTGGTGGAGCCTCCACAGAGTCAGGCGCGTCAGAGCTCCGCTCGCCAGGTGAACGACCTGCGAGATGTGATCCAAACTCTAACCAAGTCGATTGGTCCAATGGGAAAACTGCTGGACTTTTTTCCCGAGGACGTCGACGCAATGCAACTGGAGCTAACCATGTGGCGCGACAATTACAACCAGGCCTCGTTGGAACTGAAGAGGGAGCGAAGTCTCACTGCGTCCGCCACGGAACCCATGAAGCACCAGCTGCAGCAAATCCAGGCCAGCATTGTCGAGTACCGGGAGCTTATCGACGAGAGTCGCCACAAGATCCTGCAGAACAACTCGCGCATCCTCAAGATGATGTTGGAACAGTAAATGCTAGAGAAATAGCCACAAAAAGCTCTTGAAATATAATAATGTTTTTTGTATTTAATAAGAGTTTTATAAAAATAGCCATGCATGTATTGCTTGGGTACACTTTTCAATTCAATATATATAAAATGTATATAATAATATCAAAATATCTTTGATACGCAATAAGTTGGTTGGTTTCTTTTTGGGTGATTTGTTAGTTTGTAAACAGTTCTGGTAAAAAAATGGAAGAATTTAACAACAGACGGTGAGTTTCTCTTCTAAGGTCACTTGGTGTTTGAACCGAAACCAACACTCTTAAAACTAGTGTTCTTAAAAAAACCAAAACGAGCCTTAAAGTATTTAACTTTCCCTCTCGATTCCTCAGATTTGAATAATTGTGCGATAATAACATGCATATACAATGCATCAAAGGCTGAAAAAATCAAACCTTTTCTTTTTCGGTTTCCGATGGGGCAGCTTTTTTCTTCTCTTCTGTTACCGACTCTTTAGTTTCCTCTAAGGTCGCACTTATTTGAGGTTTCTCTGGGATCTCCTCCTTTTCAGCATCGCCTGTGATTGTCTCCGCTTCATCATCCTCTGCAGCTGACTTATCCTCGACCTCCTTGTCCTTTCCCAAGCCATCTTCCTGCTCCTCATCGCCCAGAACATACTCGATGACATCGTCGATGGGGAAATTGTTGAGCAGCGACTTGATGGAATCGTTGTGAATCACAACGGTGAAGAGCAGTTTGCAATACTCCCGCATGCGACTGCCGTAGTCCAGTTCGGCGTAGTTCTCGGCACCTTTTTGCAAGTCGTGGCCGCAGTTCTCGATCACCTTGCAGAGCACCATCTCCTCGGGGGCATTGGGCCACCCGTATTTCTTCAGGATGGGCGGATCCACCAGCATGTCAATGAGTTTGCCCACGTTCTCCTTAAGCTTTAGATCCTCTTCGGTCAGGATTTCGCCGCTAACCTCATCCTCGCTCGATGCTTCGTCCAGATTATCCGCGATGGCAGCAGCCAAGCTGGCGGCCAGGGATTTGCGCTGCTCCTTCTTGACCACCGGTGAGATCTGTGTCTCATCCTTTTTGCCCTCTGGCTTTACACCGCTTTCATCCGTCAGCTGCTCTCCCTCGATGGCGCCGTCCAACGGGAGAATCGTGTACGTTTCGTTTTCCAGTGTAATGGTCTGGGCAGCGCCATCGCCCTCGTCCACCAGGAATTCGCGCACCACAACGCCATTCCCATCCGTTTGGCTGGAAATCAGGGAGCCCGCCGAAGTGTTGAGAGCCACTGGGACAACCTCCTCATCATCTTCGATTTCAGTGAGCGGCGTCTTCTTTGCGCGCTTCGAAGGCTGCGGTTCAACGCCAAAGATATCATCGGGATCGCACTCGTGCACGGTGCGAATGTGACGGCGCAGCGTTACGCTGCTGTCGAAGTTCTTATCGCAAATGGCGCAATCCGTTCGCTCCATAATTTTGATGGCCGAACGCTTGGTGGTCCTTTTTTCTTTTGCTGTAAGTGGGAGGATCAGGATTAATGGTTCGATAATTGCTAGTCTGGCCTAACTTACGGATGTGTTTGCCCTCGTCCATGTGCTCCTTGAGCAGCGCCGTGGTGCGGAAGGTGGCCTTGCATTCGGTGCAGGAGAAGACGGGACGTTTTGTGCGCGAGTGAGTCTTCACATGGCGCTCAAGTCTGCGGGGGAAAAGTGCGATTGATTAGAAAAGATTATTAGTACAACTTTTTAACCACTTACTGCTTCTCAGTTTTGAACTTCTCCTCGCACTGATCGCAGGCAAAGGGGCGAATATGGGTCTTGGAATGGGTACGCAGCTGGGTGGCCTGGATGAAGCTCTTGCCGCACTCCTCACACTTGTGTGGTCGCTCGCCAGTGTGGCGCTTCATGTGACGATTGAGCACTTCCTTGACGGCAAAGGCTTGGTTGCACTAAAAGAATTGATTAGATAAATAACAGGCCAATTTAAGGATACATTCAAGAGCTTCTTGACTAACCACAGTGCAACTGTAGGGTTTCTCGCCAGTGTGATAGCGTCGATGCTTTTTGAGGGCCACCAAAGCGGAGAACTTCTTGTCGCACAGATCGCAATCGAAGGGTTTCTCGCCGGTATGTGTGCGTATGTGTATGCTGCGTGTATAGACCACATATTAGTCATACTAATTATAATTATTAGTCAAATATTAAACCCACTTGAGTGTGGACAGGCTGTAGAAACAGTTCTTGCACGTGTGGCACATGTACTCGGGCTTCTTCACCACCTGCGTGCCCAAGTGCTGCTTGAGATGCGATCGCAGGTTGTCCAGGCGATAAAAGACGCGATCGCACACCTTGCAGCTCATGGTATCCGTTTCGTTCGACGAACACGACGAGTACTTCTGGTGGCGCTTCAAGTGGTAGGAGCGCGTGAAGTCCTTGCCGCAGATCTTGCAGGCATAGGGCTTGCCACGCGACTTGTGCTGCTCCTCGTGGAGCGACAGCAAGGCCTCGCTGCGCAGATTGGCATTGCAGATGGAGCACGGAAAGTCGCTGAACTCGGAGTGGGTGATGAAGATGTGGCGCTCGTAGCTGGTCTGCGTCTTGAACGACTTGGGGCAGTCGGGGCAGTTGATGTGGCCCAGCTGGAAGGGATTAATGGATTTTAAGTGAATGTTAAGGATGATAGATTGTCCGACTTACATGAAAGGTATCGTAACTTTCGCTGCAGCAGAAGCAGATGTCCTTCTTCTCCATCACCACGGCATCCTTCTCGATCTTCTCCAGGTTCTTGAGCATGTCGGCCTTGCGCAGATGATAGCCGCTGTCGTAGCGACAGAACTCCAGATGCTTCTTGAGGCTCTGGACGCGCCGGAAGGTCTTGTAGCACTTGCCGCACACGTGCTCCACGATCTCCTTGATCTTTGCCCCGTGGCTGGAGTTGCCCTCGCCCTCCGCATCCTCCTCGCCGTCTTCCTTGTCGTCCTCGTCCTCCTCGGTGACAACGATCTCCTGGCCATTGGTGTCCTGAATCCTACCCGGCACCACCTCCTCATCGTCGGCCAGAATGTAGGCAATCGTCTCCTCGTCCTCGGCGGTGGCCACCGTCACCGTGGTGTCCGCCTTGCTGTTCTCGGTCTTCACCGCCTGCAGCACATAGTGCTCCATCTTCTTGCGCTTGCTGGGCGATGTCTTGATCTTGGCCGTTTCCACGGCGGTTACGGTGGCGCTGGGCAGCCGCTTCTCGTTGAGAATCTTCACTGTGGAGGCGGTCGCCTTGGTGGCGCCCCTTTTCTCCGCCTTTGGCGTGGCCAGGATTTCTTCATTGAGTATTTTGATGCGGGATGCAGTGCCTCGTTTTTCCTGCTTACTCGGGGGAGTTTTTGATGAGGAGCTACTGGTGGTGGTTTCAGGATCTCCGGCTGCTCCTATCTCGTTCAAGAGCTTCATTCTGGTGGCAGGACGCTTGTCCTTGGGCGGCGAAATGTTCTCCACGCCCAGTATCTTGATCTTCTTCTCCTTGCCCTCCTTGGAGGCGCTCATCTTGGCGATGACAGCCTGAAATTAGGTTAGGTCGAGGTAAATCCAGGATCAGGATCAGCTAGCGCCGCCTAGCCTACTTTTGGGCACGTGATTTAGAATTCCAATTGGATTTTGCCAGCGTCACCCAAAAGCAGCAAAGAAAAAATGGCGTCACCAAAATCGATCTTTGCGATCGGATCGCACGGGTGCGAGCGAGACAACACTACCGCGCCTGACGCACAGAAAACGCAACAAGTTTTCTTCTTAAATAAAATTGGTTTCCAAGGGGTTGGAATTAATTCTAATGCACACTGAAATCCGTTGCATACTTTTTAAATATCGAATGTTTTTCTGCGGCCCGAAGGATGAGGCGATCTTGGCCGATTCGTCTGCTGATTAGGCATGCAGGTCTTTTCTCCTCAACAAAAGAAAGTGGCGGCGGCCGCGGCGGAAGGCAGAGAAATCGATGAGACACTGGCTCAACTCCTCACTTCACAGTCATTTCCAAACTCGTCGCGAAGTGATCTCTGCCGATGCTAAGCCGAACGTTGAAAAACAATCACAATTTACCCAATTTTATGCTTTAAATTCCAACACGACAAGCGATTAGTGCGACCGCGTCGCCACTTTTATTTCATACCAGAGTCGGTATTTCTTTGCTGTTAACAGACATCTGTTAAAATAACAGTGCTGTTAGGGATATGTCGAACAATCGATAATCGACATTACAGCATAAACGTAAATGACCACTTACGTATTACGTATGCTGTGCATGAATCAGTGGGACCACCGTCCATCTACCAGATTAATACCACTTAAATATACCAGAATATCGGCAAGAGTACAGATACCTGTAAAAATAGGCAATAATGTTAATGTTAATGTTAAGGCGATGTCAGGAAGGAACGAAATCTGACTTACATCAGGGGGATTCCCTAAACTGTTGAATTGTTGAATTTTGGTCAGCTGTTAATCAGCTGTTCCATACAAAGTCAACTTTCAGAAATTTCAGCAATTCATCAGCCTGGCTGTTGAAAATTTTGTTGAATTGCTGAAAAGCCAGAGTTGTCACCTTTTTTTTAAAGTCGTGGCAACTCTGTAACATTTTAGTATCACCAGTACGCATTATTTATTTTAAAATGAACTTAGAAAGTATATTTGTGGTTTTTTTTACTTTGGTAACACTTTTAGGCAGTAACTAGCAATAATAAATCAAATTTTACATGCTTTAAGTTCCGTGAAATTTTTCAACAAATAACAGCTGTTTGAAAATTCAACAGGAACCATTTTGGGTCGTTCCCTTAATTGCTGAATTTTTTTGTTGAATTTTCAACAATTCAGCAATTCAACAGTTTAGGGAATCCCCCTATCGCCATATAAGCTGATAAAAATAATAATCCCTCCATGAGTGTGGTTTTCTTGATTGTTGGTTTTTTTTATTATTTGGTTTTTATTATTAAGGCAATGACTTGTGAAATCATAGCTCGTATCCTGCAATGAAAACTGCAGCCCGTTACCTTTTCGTATGAATGCCCCAAAAACCAATTAGATAAGAAGTTATTAAGTTCGGTTCGATTTAATTTTATACTTTTATTCATTCTTTACATTTTATGCAATAACAAAAATAATTTAACAATATTCGAATTATTTAAGGTGGTAATAAAAAATAGCTGTAACTTATGATTAAACGTTTTATTTTCTCCGTGGTGAAATGCCTTCCATTTCTTCCGCCTGCTCACTGGTTTCAGAGTTCCTTGGCGATCCCTGGCGGTTGTCCGACCACCACGGGCGGTCAGAGGAGTGCATTCGGGCTGCTTCATCGGACTCTCAAACTCAAACACGGACATCGACTTTGGCGTCCAGTACCGCCGTAATGTGCAGTGATCTTCATCTGGCACATATGTGCGCACTCCAAGGCAAGGTTTGATGTGCCCGCTGGAGTTCAACGTTTTTGAAAAAAAACGGCATTTTATTGTGCTCGTTCCACTTGGCCCAACACATCCAGCACCGGAATGGGACTGTAGTCCACAGGCTCCCATTCCCATCCCTGTGACTGACTGGCACGGCAGTAAGAACGCGGGTTGGACCCACGGAGTTTGGGGCGTCATCCATTACGTTTGCGGCCACATAGCTGGTGTCGGATACTCATAGAACATTATAAACATTTTATTACATACTAAAATAATAATAAAGGTAAAAGATAAAAGTATTCAAAAAGGAATAAGAACTAAATTTTCATTCGGGCGATATCGTGTTCTGATAAGACTTCAATAAGATTTAACATAGGTCACCTGGCTTAAATTGATTTCATTCACTTTAATTTTACATAACTGGAATGCAATGCCTTTGATTTTTTAAATAAACACCTAAATTAAGAACCAGGCGAAAAGGCGTGATCGGACATCCATTTCAAACCTTTCCAGGTTCGATGGGGCTTTATCGTAAAATTCTTCGCTCTACTTTTCCTGCTTTTTTTCTGTTTCATCTTTTTCATTGCCTTTCAGGCCATTTAAGTTATTACGTTATTTCCCTTTTTCTCAATTTAAGGACAAAAATTGTACTCACCGCATGCTTTTAAATCCAGCGATGATAGCGCTTTCCTCTGGATATTGCTGCTGCTGCTGAATTTTAAGGAAAAGGCAATTGGAAATAAAGTAGGAAAACACGTGCTAATAGGGCTTTTTGCAGGCTGATTCTTCCGCTCAAAAACAGCTGGTACATGGTACTGGTGGTAGTGCTGCTCCTTATAAACACCATAGGGACTTGGCATCCAACCATAGTTGGCCAACGGAAGTAGACCACCACCGCCCCCAGATTTACGCCACTTCTTTTGAAATGAAGCGTAAATACAATTTGACAGCGTAGAATGACAGAATAGAAAAAAAGTGTTGGGAAGCGCATTTCACTCTCAGCTAATATAGAGGCCGGACCGATAAATATGTCTAATAGGCGATGTTTTTTTCGGTGCAACTCTGAATTCTTCCTCTTGACTGTGAAATTTGGAACGATGACTGCGAGAACAAATCAAATCGATGGCGGGATAAAATTAAATAATGCTTCAGCTCATTGTTTCTTGGTTTTTTTTTTAATTATTTGTAGTTCGTTATGGGCGGAAAAGCATTCGCAAACAGGTTGCTATGAGTGGGCCAAAATTTAAGCTGTTCTGCGTACGAAAACATCAATGTTTGCAGCGAAGTTTTAGAATATGTTCTGCTCTTCGTAAATAATAACTAATACTAATTAAAAGGGTACTATGTACTCCTAAAAAGTTCCAAAGTTGCTATAAATTACCAAAACAGCAAAAATTTGGTTTTGTTTACAAATTTGCCATATTAATATTGGCTAGACAGAGGCGTAGTTAGAGCGGAGTGTGGGGTACGGGAGGTTAGGGTCTCCCTCAGTCAGCAATATATTTGCATACTCGTTATAGGATATGTTAAAAATGTTTAGATATGTTTTTTAACTATTATTTTATGATATTTATTGTATTATTTTAGAAAAGGATTAGGAGAACGCAATTTTACGACAGTTTTCCCCGAGTTGAAATCCCCCCTTCGATAATGTTGAGCTGAGCAACTGCTCTTCAGTCAGCTGTTATTGGATGGTAGATGGTGGATGGAGTTCTGTGGGAACACGAGTTTAACATTCGTCAAAAATCCCAACCTTTTTAAACGGATGGACTCTATGTGAAGAGGCTATAACTGGGAAATTTTCGGAAAGGAAAAACCTTACGGACCATCCGTTCAACGGATGGTGGATTGAGCTTTGTGGGAAGACCCTAAGGGCAAGTTAATTTCTGGCGATCTGGCAACATTATACCAGAGTTACCCCCCTGCGCATCATGCTTTGAGGCGAACTTTTTGGTGATTAGCTTAATTAATTTGAAAATAAATGAATTAATATACTTACCAAAATGTATAGGTACCACGAGTAAATCAACGCCAGGATCCCAGACATGGTCCTGTAAAAAGTGTCCCCTCGAGCAGAACTGAAACGGTGTTCGTCCCGTAGGGACGGCAGATTAATGCCCTCTGCTCATTATGGACGCGTCGCGTTTGCATCCATTTACCGTTTAACGCGCCCAAATCCCATACAAAACTTGTAGGCGAGGGTGAGGAGGGGAGGGTGGAAATTTGTCGCGTTACAGGGCTGGGAAGTGAAATTTGTGGTATATTTAAGCAGTATTAACCAGGCACGAACATTTTCTGGACCCGAAACTGATAAGAGGCTGATAAGAAGCGGGAAATATTAAAACCATTTATTGTTGATATTTACATGAACTTTATTTCGTATAGATTGGTATTTGATATATGATATATGCCAAATGATCTGGCAATAGTTCAGAATTCCGAGGATGATCCAAGCGCATAAAGAGCAGTAGCAGTTCGTTTATCCAATGGAATGGCTCGGCTAGAAAGGATCGGAAGCGAAATATTGGTCGTTGCAGCGCAGCCACATGGGCTTCCCTGTCTTCATGATCTTGACGTTTGCTTCGCGTGCGCCATTCGTCCATTAAGGCGACCTCCTGGTTAGACCGTAGATGGCCATTCTATATTCAAATGACACACGTTGACAGGCGACTGCTGGAAATGGGCACAATGTTCTCGTAGGCATTTCTGCCCCGTATCAGATTCTGTTCAGTGACGTGCCGCCGCAGAAGCTACTGCTGTCGCGGGTCGTGTCAAAGAATTAATTAAATGACTGTTCAGATCTATATATATGAACGCCTTCTGCAGCAGATCCTTTTGCTTTCTGCCGTAATAAATGCTCAAGCAGCGTAACGTGGGATGTTGTTGCTTTCATCATTGCAGCAATGTTTCCACGCTGTTCAAATGCTGTTCTGCGATTACAATTATCAATAACAAATTATTTAAATCCATTGTTTACTTCAGCTCGCAAATGACAATAGCACAACAGCTGTCAGACGCGTTTGCCAATGGAAACACCTCACGTCCGCCTATCGCGTTGCCAATCGAAAATACACAAAAATACCGAAAAAACCGCATAGTGGAAAAATGCCTTAAGTCTACCAAACACTTTCATGCCTGGCCGACAATCACGGGGGTTTCGTTAAGCGTAGCAAGGCAGGAAGGACTGGTGGGCCTCGGGTAAGGCGAAAACCCTCGCCTTCGCAACTCCCAAAGCACGGATCTCATTATGGGCACGGACCGTTCTCGTCAGACTTTTAACGATGCTTATTTGGGAGTAAGAAACTATAACAGGGGTATCATAGAAACCGGCGACGGATTTGAGGAAACCGTAGGTGTAACAGAATTTGCAGAGTTTTCTAGGAATGAACTATTGATTCAAAAATCATCTTGATCGGTTTAGATTTTTTAAATCCAAAAGTTATTTTAAATATATCCCCAAATTATGTTGGACTTAAAATTAGGTCCTTTTATAACCTAAGTTCGAAAAAAATTAAAATTTAAAAATTTCAACCACTTTAGAAGTTAAGCATTTAAATAGATCCAATTTTGTTGCTGCAAATATTGATGTTAGACCAACAAACACTATTCAGATTAATTCTTGGTTTTATTTCACAACGACTAAAATGCGGCTTACACACAATCGGTTAGCTTAGCTAATAAAATTCATGCGTTCGTTTAAAATTAAGAGCATCATAATTGTTAAAAGAAAACTACGGGCTAATACAGGTGTACGAGTAAATGTAACGTGGTTATGAGAGAGTACATCCCAGAACGGTTAAATGCTAGTTCTAGCTTATAATTTCGCTACTGCCGGTCCTACGCCCTTCGGCCCTCCGGCCTCAGAAGCTGCAACTTGGTGGAAATGGGTCTCAGCGATGATGAGGACAATGGCGATGAGGACGATGACGATGGCGAGAAGGATGCCGATGTGGATGTGCCTGGCGATGAGGAGTACGGATAGATGGTGCTGCCACTGCTGCTGGAAAATGCCGGAGTTGTGCTGCCGGTGGTTCGACTAAAGGGCGCTGGATGGGAATACTCCGAAACGGGTTGGGGCTCTGTGCCCCGGAACTCCTGTGGTAGCTCTCCCCTAAAGATCCCGAATTGCGGAGTGGTTCGGACCAGCTGCTCCAAGGGTGTCAGTCCATACTGGGCATGTCGCTGCTGGACTCCACCACCATTGCCCGCAGCATCCAGTTTGGGTGGCAGCACCAGGCTGCTGTCCACCACCGACTTGCCATCGAAGGTGTAGAGGGCTCCACTCGGCAGGCTGGCATGCGGAACCTTCCTGTTGTCCGGTGGCAGGTAGTAGGTGTCAATCCGCTCGGCAGCAGCTGCCACTCGGTCATCCATTTCCAGTTCCAGCTCATCGGCATATATATCCTCTTCATCGGGTCCAAAGAGATCTTCCAGCAGTTCGGTTTCCTTGGGTTTCTTGGTGGTCGTGCTCGGGATCTCTTTTGTAGTTGCAGTGGCTGAATTCTTAGTGGTCTCCTCCTCATCATCCCCCTGCGGCAGTGACTCTAGTTCCAGCTCCTCCTCGTTCAACTCCTCGCCAAAGAGCTCGTCCAAGGTCGGTTTTCTCAACTCCGAGGCGGAGGGCAGCGCGTGCTCCAGGGCTGCCGATGGTAATCTCAAAGCCGAAGCCGTTGGACTAACCTCCTTCACATTCACCCTTAAAATCTTCGAAGCATTGGTGCTGTCCAACGGAGATGGTATGAACATGGGCTCAAAGCTTTGGGTTTCACTGCCGCCCTGCTGGGCGGTCAGGAATAGCGTATCCGTTTCCATCACCTCATCGATTTCGGTGCCAGGATCCTCGCGACGATTGGCCACCTGTTCGATGATCTCCTTGGGCAATTGCACGCCCGTTCCATCGGTTCGCATGATGGGTCGAAAACCGCTCTCCACAATCACGGTGTCTGGCTTGAAGCCCTGATTGACGGCAGGTCGCATGCTGGCGATTTCTTCTTGAGAGGGTTCCTTCACCGCAGGACGTTTGACCAGCGGCGTGGTCGTGGTTGAGCTGCTCATGGAACTGGAACTTGAACTGGGTGCTATGGGCTTGGGATCCCCCTTTCCGCCCGGTTGATTGAAGAAAGCAGTGTTCTGCAGAGAGCCCTGCGGTTCGAGGTCAACATAGGGCACTGGAATTTTGGGTTTACCCTTGACCTTGAGTCTCTCCCCCTTGGCGGTCAGCCCACCCAGTCCGCCGCCCAGTTCAGTGGGTTGTCCCAGGAGCAAAACAGAAGCGGCCAGCGGTTGCAGCGGAAAGGGTTTCTCCTTGACAAAGGGTTTCAGCAGACCCGGCACCGGCTTCCTGTAGTGGCTCACAATCAGCGAGGGTTGCTGTTGCAGCAGGACGGGATGCTGCGGATGCAGGTGCGGATGTTGCTGCGGAAGCACGGGTCGCGAGGCCGGAACCTTCTTGATGGGAGCGGGAAAGGGTCGTCGGCCGGGCAGCTTGACCGGATGGAAGAGCGGTGCGTTCTGCGGCGGACGCAGAAACTCAGAGAGTCCAATGGTTTTCTGGGCAAGCGCTGGAAGATTAGCGGTTAGATTGTGATGATGCAAATGGAGATGCGGATGCGGATGCGAGTGGGGGGCATGCTGCGGATGGTGGTGCAGACGATGCAGGGGGTGCGGGGGATGGTGGATGAGATGGGGACCGCTAGCGAAGATCGGTAGCTTCAGCGTGGCGGGGGATGGAGATGCAGATGGGGATGGGAATGCGGATGCTGATGCGGATGCGGATGGAGATGCATTCGGCTTGTGGGCGTGGGTCTCGCCCAGCAGAATCTCGGGGGTCACGTTCGCTTTCGGGTACTGGTTGGGTTGTTGATTGGGGTTCAGGTTCAGGTTCGGATTCAGATTGGGGTTCCTCTTTAAGCTCTCCTCGAGAGCCTCAGCAGCGCGGATGCCATCTGAAATCAGTTTGGTTATTTCCGAAGATTTCGTTATTTCAAAACTCAGTTTGGGCGGTGTTCCGTTCATATTGTGGTTCTTAATCAAATCGGTTTGGTGCTTCAATAAAAAATTATCGTTGGCGCTGACCTTGGTTTCGTGCCTCACGGACGCCTCGCCGGCGTAGTCCTCGTGCACGGGAGCAGGTTCCGCGGATGTTGCCTCGGCAGCCGCTGGCAGGCGGATTTCGTGGCGTTCGGAGGCGGATCCCTTTAAGCCGCCCGCCTCCGAGTCGCAGGCATCGTGCACGTGGATCTTCCATCCCAAATAGCGGTGGGTGAAGCAGTGGTAGTACACCGTGTCCGGCGTACTCCTGTCCGGCTTCCAGCTGATGACGCCCGGTTCCCCGGCGTCGCACTTGAGGGTCAGGGTGCGCTGGTAGGCTCCGAATGACTGGTAGTCGTCCGCCGGAGGTCCCTCCACGTCCGGCGTCCAGTTGCAGAGGCGGCCCACCCCAGTGGGCGTGACCTGGCCGGAACGGGAGCGATGCACTCCGGCGTAGATGCGAACGGCCTGCAAGGAATAGTACTTATTTAACATATTTTCATTATTTAAATTCAGAAATCTCACCTTCTTCTCTTCCTCGCGTTTGTGCTCGTATCCTCCCACAGGATCGTCACTGATGTAGAACGGATGGTACTTGGCCGGAATGTCCGGGTTGTTGCCGCCCTCCACCACAAAGGTGTAGGTCCTGCCGCGCACCACATGGATCTCGGGAATCAGAAGTCCGTTGATGTACCAAGAAATTCCCCAGCCAACGTGGCCTACGATAAACAAATATTTCGTAAGTGAATTCATCAAAAGTGTGTGGGATAAATAATATATTCGGATAAAAAAGATATCGAATTATATTTAAAACGTTACATTCCAAACATTTTAAAGATGAGTTATGACTTTAAATTATTAGAACCATTTGTCTGTAATCAAAGTTCGCTGAGAATACGTTTAAAAGGAATATATGTTTGGCTTGCCATACAAGAACGTTTCTATTATTTCTTCCGCCACTGTATATGCGTTCAAAGCTTTGTTTTAGTAGGAAAACTTTTGTACCCCGAAAAGGAGCTGTAGTTCAAAGGTCAAAAGTTCACATTTCAGATGATATTTAAATATTGACTTTTCAGGATCTTAACCCAAGTTATACGAATAATTAGAAAGGAAATAGTAGACAGACTCACCTGTAATGGCGGGATATCCGTGCTTTCCTCCCGTGGGACCCATTTGGGCGTAGAACACTCCGTCCTCCGGTTCGTGGCACTGGATGGCCGGGATGTCCCAAGCACCATTGCTATTGACCGGCTTTGGAGTGGGCACTGGACGTCGCTGGGTGATGATGGCCGTTTCCTGGCGCCTCTGCGGCGGCTGGCGATGTAGTGCCTCCGCCCGATTCTCATAGAACTCCTCTTCGGGCTCAACATTGGGCCTTCCGGCTGGCGGGTAACCAGCTCCGCCGGTTGAACTTTGGGCAGCAGGAGCAGAATCCTCCTGCTCGGAGGAGTTGCTGCCAGGACGAGCGCCCTCGGGCAGGGGACAATTCCACTTGGGCTGGCGACCGAACTCGATGTTGTGCAGGTGCTTATTGTAGAACGTGTGGAAGGAGACCTCGCGATAGTCGTTCAGTGGTCCAATTGCCCAGACAACCGATTCCGCTTCCGTTATCGAGATGGGCAGATCCAGACGATCGGTGGCAGCCAGAGATCTTTGGTAGGTCACAATCGAATAGCCATTCACCATGGCGGCATTCAGCAGGCGAATGGAGTTGGTCTTCTCTTGGATCTTGGTGTCAGGACAGGCGCCACGTCCACCGGAGCACTGGGCCTTGCCCTCCAGGAAATAGTCCGTGGCGAATCCGTTTCCGGTTTGGGGATCCACCCAGGCGACCACTGCATCTGCGCCGATCATCTGGCTGATGTTCTTGCTCGGCGAGATTCCAAAGGACATGTAGTGGTTCGGTTCTGTGGGTACATATATAGTGTGATGAGATTTTCAAAGAATTCGGTAGCTCGAGAAAAACTTGTAAAAATGAATCATAAATTTTCCAAAGGTTGGTAATTATTCCAAAAAGAAATTTTTGAATATTACCCCCAAACATATAAATTTCAGTATAATAAAATTATAAGGCTTTAAAAGTTACTTTTTTAGAAACCATTTCTAAGCACTTAAATCTCGAAAAATTCCCTGATTCATTTATTTTTAACTTTCTATTTTAAGTATAATTTTTAAGCCATTATTTTGAGTAATTTTAATTTAATGTGTTTCCAATTTCCTAAATCCTTTTTCGAGTGCAGTAAAATTCTATGGGAAGTGCTACTGGTATCCCCGCAATCAACGAAAGTTGATCGCCCCAATTCTGGCCTGGTCAACCGGTTGGCAAACATTTTCCCGGTGAAAATTCCTGGCGGCATTCTTAGCGGTTGCAAATTGCCCAGCTTGGAGTAAGACCAGTGGCGGATGAATATGGATATGGCCAGAGTATATCCATGGTGTGCTCGTGATTGCAGATGCGGCACCAACAAATCGCTGCCATCCATTTGTCCACCCATCCACCAGTCGAGTTGCGCAATAAAACCAGTCGTCATAATTCGCAACTTGTTATTCTGCCAACGATGCTGCTGCCGTGGATATGTGGATGCTGATGATCGGTCAATTTGGATGCTAACTGGATTTTATTGTTGCCATCTCGGCCACATCTCATCCCCCTCCCTGCTAACTGTACTCGATAAAATGTCAAAGCATCATAAATCAGCAGCAGCAGTTGCGGCAATTGCAGCCGGCATTAAGATTTTGGCTTTTCGCCGAGGGCTTGTCAACAAATGGGATAGGTCAGGCCAAGGGATTTGACTCACTACGTAAATTTCGACAAAATTCCAACGCGTTTGGTGACTTTTTAAGGCTTTTCGATATATGTATATTTTGTTTGAAAATATATTTTAAAATGCTTTTTGAATCAAATGTATCTATATTGGGGTGGGTCGATTTGGGACCCCAAAAATCGTATAAGAGGAATGTAATCTTTAAAGGATTCTAAGCAATATTGGCGAACATACTTATGGTCTAAAATGACGTTTGACCTCCCCAAACGCGAATGAAAATGCTGTTTTTTTTTCATAGCAGTCAGCACAGATATATTACTGAATACCAATGTCAAATTTTTATTTCAAATTTAGTAATACATCTGAGCTGACTCCTATGATATTTTTCTCAAAAAAAGCTGTATTTTTCATTCGCGTTTGGGGGGGGTCAAACGTCATTTTAGACCATAGGTATGTTTGCCAATATGGCTTAGAATCCTTTAAAGATTACGTTCCCCCTAATCTATATACAATAAATAACCCTATTTTTTACAAATCTCAAAAAGCAAAATAGCAAAAACAGGCTACTTCCCCTGAAAAAACATTCTTGTGAATTTCGGTTATTTTACTGAATTATTTATATCTCCTATAACATGGAAATATTTGGACGACAAAGATGGACAAACAAGATACAAATTCTAACCTTTGTTCTATTAATAAGTTTAGTTATTTATAAAAAAAAAATTATTAAGTAAGTTCAATAAACTTTTAACGCTATAAGTAAAAACGAAACCATTGTAAAAAAGTTGATTTTAAAAAGTTGATTTGATCACAATCCGAAAAAATCCTTTTATAGTACAAAACTTCTTCAATAAACTAAATTTCCATGAATAAATTATTAATTTAAATATAACTAATCTGAATTTGAAAAATTACCACGGCCAAAATCGGATTTCCTTATTCTTTTTTGTTTTAAAACTAATGTTTCGTAAATGTTTCTATTTATGTCCAGCTTCCATAAAACCTCAATTAACACAGAGCTAATGCCTTCACAGTCTGCTGAATGTCAGCGCCTGTCTATTTACATGAGGGAAAAACAACTTCCGCCCATTAGGAGCAGTTAGCACCCCAAAATCGAACCGGACTTACCCAATTTGGCCACCAACTGGACCACGATGCTCTCGCCGGCCACCGCCCAGCGAACCTCGAATGCCAGATCGTCGTAGAGCACCTCGCAGTTGAGCTTCGACTGGAAGAGATTGGTTTAAGGGAAGGTTCGATTGGATCGGAAACGGAAGCGGATATGGAGTTTTGGTTTTTGGACTGGGGAATGTGCGGTGCGGGTGTGTGTGCGTGTGGATGTGGATTTTTGGGGATTTCGGGGTTTTATAGGGGAGAGGGGAGGAGAAAGCTTTGGCCAAAGTCAAAATTTTGAGCATACCCGAAATGTTTGCATTTTTGTTTTGCTGCTTACGAAAGATTTTTGCTTTTTGAATGGTTTTATTATACAAAATGAAAAATGTTTTTGATTTCGCTTGGGTGGTTAGTAGATCACAGAAATGTTTTTCTTTTAGAGGGGAAATTGTGTGTGTTTATGTGTGTGCGATTTTCGTGTGTATTTGTGGTATTGGTTTCGAGGAGGAGGTGGATTAACAATTAGGATTCAGTCCCACACAGATTTCATTTTGTATAAGACGCTCCCGGAGCTCAAGCAAAAGCTGATCAAGACAACAAAACACAAATAACAAGCAGGTGAGTATTACATTGACACATATATATATATTATAGAATGTGTTGCACATATGTATGTATATAAGTATATAAATATAAATATATAGATATTTTGCATCTCTCCTCCGCCGTCCGTCCAGCTTACAGTCTAGGAATTTCCGGTCACGACTCTCGTAGTGCCGTAATGCCGGATCCGATTCGAATCGATTGATAAATATTTTGCATATAGACAACAATAAATACGATTGCATATAAATAGAGTTACACCCATCTACCGCGATCAGCGATCAGTGATCAGTAGTAGTAGTAATCAGCGCTGCAGCTCGCTTAAGATCTGGCTGGCGTTCTTCTTTTTTACCTGTGGACTGATTCCGAGCATCTTCAGCGAGGGCGGCACATTAAGGCCCTCGGGCAGGCGCACATGGCCGAAATCGACGGTGAAGGCCTCGCACCAAACGCCAAAGTGGCCGATATCGAAGATGGTCAGATCCTCGGGCAGGGTCAGCACAATGGTCTTGCGCTCGTAGCGACGCAGCGGATTCTCCTTGCCGTTCTCGTCCGGAATCCTCAGGCCCTCGGAAGTGGGACGCTGGCCACGACCCACCCAGAATTTGGCATCTGTACAAAATATTAAAATAAATGATTAAGACCATCGAAATACATAGACCAAACTAATTGTTGAAAAACAAAATTCCTAAAAATTAATCAGGTTCTTATCTTATTATTAACATCCAGTTTTATACCCACACTCATGACGAAAGCACTTTATTGATCCAGTATTAATTGTTTTCATTATATTTTTTAACTCAATGGCAAAAATTCTGTGTGAATTCCCCTAAAACATATTGTTATAAATAATGCATATCATTATTATTGCTTATTGCTGCAATCAGAAGCTTTGCAAATGATTTCCAAAGAACTTAAGAATAAGTGCTTTTTGATATTAGGAATTATTTTGGAGTGGTTAATTTATGTGGTATTAAGCTAAATTAGACAAATTTAAATAATGCTTTCAATACGATTAAACCTTAATCATGAATTTTAAATGATATTTTAAGACCCTGTATAGCTCCTGTTTTATACTTGAATGTTAAATAATATTTATTTTGAATTGGTACCCACCTGGCGCTTCGCCGTCGTAGCTGAAATTGGGCACCAACAGCGTCTGGGCGTCCACGATGACAATGTTGTCGGAGGAGACGCCATGGACGCCCCTCAGGGCGTTGATCTTTTGCGGCCGCGGGAAGTCCAAGTTGGCCGGAATGGAGACGTCGCCGAAGTTGACTGCGAACTCATCGCACCACACCGAGAACCACTTGATGTCGCGTAGCGTCTTGCCCTCGGGCAGCGACAGGGTGACGTCCTTGTTGCGGTAACGGCGAGTGAGGGAGGCAGTGCCGCCCCTCTCGTCCCTTAGCCGGGCGGCCCCCTCGTTGCTGGGCCGCGCCGTGTTGCCCACATAGAAGTAGGCCGCTGGCGCCTCGCCGTCGTAGTTGAACTTCTTGATGAAGATGGTGCGCGAATCCACGGCGTACACATCGCCGGAGACGCCGTGATGCAGGCGGGTCAGGGCTCCGATCTTGGTGCCATAATACGGGTAAGCAGCATCTGCAAAGCTGGCTAGGCCTGCAAACACACAAACAAAAAATCAAGCACAAGAATCGGTGAGGCGAGCGGCCAAAACAAAAGACTTAGGCAACAAACTTGGCGCTAGCTGAGTCAGTGGGCAATGAATACACACACGAAATCTCCGCAGCCACTTAGCGACCACTTAATTAGTCGTACACTGCGGGAAAAATCCACCAGCTTAAATTGTTCAATATGCAAATTACACTGAGGATAAATTCTTCGAAAATATAATACATATTGAGAGGTGCAAATGAGATATTTTTAAAAATATTGAATACTATATTTCGCTTTAAAAAAATAATACAAATTAAAATAATAAGATATAATATGAAAATTTCGTTTTATTCTTTGTTTTTTTGTTCTTTAAATAATATTAAATTTGATATTTACTTTATTTCCAGTGCTTTTAATTTCCATACCAACGGGTTCTAGGCAAACAAATAAACCAAAACAATCAAATCGAACAGAAATCCACGAAAGCGGTGTGTCATAGCCAAAACTCGATCGCTGTCTTTGTTCTTGGAGCACAGGAAGTTTCGGATTTACGGATTTACGGCAAATAAATTTTGAATACAATCCGAAAATTCGTGAGGCGTGTAACACCAAAACAACAAAAATGAACACCAACAAGATAGATAGAAAAAACCAGGTCTTAATGGGAACTAATTCTCGTTAAGAGATGAATGGTTCTGAGCCGACTTTAATGGGCCAACTTTGTTTGCTTTGTGGGCTGGCGAATTTCGTTTTGAAAAATTCCCACTTCACCTTCACAAACTTGGCTTTGGCTCTAGTTGTTGTTGTTGTTTCTCAAATTCAATTTATCTGTGTTTTATTACAATCTTTTTGTTGCTATTGTTTTGCGCTTTGTTTTTTGTTATTTGTTTTTTGCACGGGCCATAAACACGTTTGGTTTTTTTAACTGCCATCAAATGGTTTGTCGGGGCGACATGGTCGCCATGGCCTGCAGTTATTTTTTATTTTTGACACAACCCGATTGGTTTTTTTTCTTTTTTTACCCGCTGGCCGGTTCACTTTTCCGTGGCCATGGCTTCGGCTGCTCCAAATTTTTCGCAGACACGGACGAGTCTTTCTCGTTTACCAGAATCTGTGGCCAGTTTTTGTCGGCCACGGTTCTGAACTGAACTGATCTGATCTGATCTGCCCAGCCGATTTCCGCCTGGCTGGCCCAGAATCCAAATACACATTCATCACCGATTTAAAGCTCAACTGGGGGCAGTTGCGAGATCGTATGCAAAATGCCAAAGGTGTAATTAAAAGCAATCGCAGTCTTATTAATGATGATCGGGCTAAAGTCGGCAGACGGAGCCATTAGGCACTCAACTGTTGGCCAAGCTAACCCAACGAACTGGTTGGGGGCAATTGCCAATCATCTGAAGCGACTCGTGTTGCAAAATCAATAGATTCCAAAAGCACAAAATTGCACACGAAAAGAAATAATTCATTCATAAATAAGGAAGATTGCAATATGTAATTGGAACTTGAGAGATTAATATTAATCACTTTTGTATTCTAAATGATTTTATACTCGTAAATATTTAGCTAGAGATATTGCAATATGTAATTGGATCTTGAAAGGTCTAAATTAAATCTCATTGTATTTATAATCGTAAATATTTAGCTTGATTTATTAACTTTTATATACTGACTTGATACTAATTATATTTATACGGCTTTAACAAAATTCTTTTAAGTCAATTAATTTGAAAAAATTTAATTCAATTTACAATTTATGTCAATACTATTTTTATGATACTGTAAAAAAATGTATTAGTTATTATTATTTAAATTTATTTTTCTTCCACTTTTTTAAATAATTTTATTCGCGATGACTTACCAACCCAGAGACCTACTTTCCCAGCGGCTTTTCCAGTCGCTAGGAGGTCTCCGAAATGGTATCAAGGAAACATGTTGGCAATTTATGCAAATCTGCGGTGAAAATGCTAATGCAGTCCGTCAGTGGGACAATTGTGGAGTTGGTCAGCGGTTCAACGGTCAGCGCTTGATCATAAAAGCTGATGAATATTCAACTGGCTGGCACTGGCACCGCACTCACAAAAGATGATATGTAGATATACGTTGGATTTAGATTCAGATTCGTATTCGGCATGTCATTGAGCTGTGTGTGGGCTCATTGTCTGGGCCATAAATACGGGCCACTAATCTAGTTTCTGTATCTACATCTATATTTGTATCTGTATCTTTATCTGCAGCTGTGTCTGCATAGCTATCCGTTCAATTTGCATCACAATGGCACTTATAAATCATTGCCCGGGGTACTTACAGCTTAATGCGGCCAATAGGCCAAATAGCAGCAGCCAAGGTTTATCCTTCATTGCCAACATGGCTAACGGTTGCTAGTGTGTGTGTTTCTGGGTGTTATATTATTTTTTTTTTATGACAGTGTGGTTGTTTTGGCCTGAGGCCCTGATTTTATTTTTTATTCCGTCAGGAAGTGCTTATCCTGGCAATCACACACACATAAGATATATAGAGATCTTCACTCGCGAATCGAATTGGTATTTGGTTTTGATCCAGGGATCTGTTTTTTTGCTGGGGGTTCCACTGAGCCACTGGGATCTCGCGACCGAACGCAACGAACTCCAAAACCGCACTGATCGCCAACGACGCTGCGTCTGCGCTGTCAGCGAAGAGTTGAAAAACTTTCGGACCCTCCTCTGCCGCTGCCTCCTCTCCGTTCCCGCTCTCTCTGCCAACGCCGGCAGAACTGTGAGGTGTCTGGTTTTGCTACTGCTACTGCTTAAGCTCTGGATGTTGCTGTTAAGCCGTTGATATTGCTGCTTCTACAGCCGATGTTGCTGCTGTCTCATTGCAATTGCTGTTGCTGAAGTTGCTGTGGGTCCTGTTTCGAAGGTGTTGCTGCTGTGACTTCTATTATTTTCAAACTTTTCCTGCTAATGCTGCTGTTGTGTTGCTGATGTTGCCGATGATGCTGCTTTAACCATATCTATTAGTGTTGCCATTCCATTAGCTATTTCAAATGTTGATGTTGCTGATTGCAATGTTGCTGATGTGATTTCTATGTTGCTGTTGATATTTTTTAGTTAATACTTTACCTGTTGTTGTTGCAGCTATGTTGCAGCTATTAAAGTAGATGTTTCTTCTGTGCCTGCTGTAATTTTCTCACTTTTCCTGCTAACGGTTCTGTTGTCTTGCTGATGTTGCTTATGTGGCTGCATTAACTATAACTATTGGTATTGCCATTCCAGTAGATATTTCTGCTGCTGCTGTTGCTGATCTTTTTGTTGATGTTGCAGCTGTTTAAGAACCTGGTGTTTCTGTCGTGTCATTGCAATGTTGCTGGTGTGATTTCTATTGTTATTCCTTTGAAAATTGTATCACTCTTGCTTATGTTGCAGCTGTAAAACTAGATGTGCTGTGCCATTTCAGTTGCTGCTGCTGTTGTCTCTACTCTTGGTGTTGCTGTTACTTCTGAGGCCCATGTTGCTGTTGTTAGTGCCACTCTTTATGTTTCTGCTGCTGTTGTCTTCACTCTTGGTGTTGCTGTTGCTGCTGTTGTAGCTGTTGCTGTTGTGCCCACGCTGTTGCTGTCTTTTTGTTGTGATCTGTGAGCTCACTAGTGACCCACTGTTGCTGCGGCGTTGTTATTGCTTACCCGTCAGCAATAATTATTGCGATGCTTGCTGTCGCACAGTCCCCTTTAAAAAAAAACGACAAACTTCAAACGTCTTACTGCCGCCTCTCCTTTTCGGCCAAGTCAAATACATTTTTTTGCACACCTTCAGTCATTTTTCATGTCTTCTCTTAGGTTTTTGTTTCGCTATTTTTCGCTGCCCATTTTGTTGTTGAATTTAAATGTTATTCTGCGTGTTGAACTTGTTTCACTGCTAATGCAATTTATTTTTGTCAAATTATGGCCCACAGTGATTCGAAAATATCGAATGCTCGATACCCACTTTTGTTTGGCATTACATGTAGTTTTTACTTCCTGCACGTTTAATTTGTGTATTCCCTTTTGCAGCTATTTCCGCGATTGTTGATATTTACATTTAAACCATTTTTTATGTATATTTTGGGTGCAGTAAATTGGTTTCCAAATGTTTTAATACAATTAATTTAATTAATTTTACAATTCCTTGAACGTTTTAACTTTAATCACTTCCTGAAACACATTAATGTTTTTAGAGATTAACTTTACATTTACATTTACATTTTTCTGCATAAAATTAGTTTTTTCCCTATGTGATTACAGATTTCCTTATTTCAGCACCTTTTCGATTAAATAATACCCAAAACAATTTGTATTTTCTTTTTTTGCTCCCTTAGATTGCACTTTCGATTGGATTACCAGATTAGATAATCAGACGCGGCTGTTAATTTATCGTGATGGATTAAATCGCCGGTTCGAAGGTGAAAGAAAGCAGATTGGCAATTCGTGATCAGTTGCCAAGTTCACAATTTTGGGATCGCTCGTGGTTGCCGGAGGCTACTGTAAAAAGACTGAAAAAAATCACAAAAGGTCAGAGACTGTAAGTGTGCGGTTACCAGCGCTTGTTAACCGTTTGCTTCCCGCTTACATAATTCAATTAGGGCCTCCACTATAATGGAGATAATTTCTGGGAGCCCCACAAAGGCGACGACATTGAACGAAGTCAAGGCGAAAACTAAGTCTAAGTTTGGGCATCCTTTTGTTCTTGGCCAAGGCCCCGAATCTTTTGTTGCATTCGGGTTTTTTGTTCACCATATATCGCTTGGCTTATAATCTCTCTTTTGTGGCAACAACAAAGGCAACGGCGAATCAATAACCTCTGGCCGATGATGATTTTTATATCCCAAAGCGGCGTTATGATTTTTGCAAATTCAAATTAGGTTTCAACAGATTTGCCTAAGTGGCGCCAAAAAAATAAAAACTGTTTTTTTTTTTTGTATTTTTGCAACCTGGCATTTCGGAGCAGCCACTGGCGACGTGATCGGCGATTATGCATGGGGAGCGTGTAATTATAAGGGAAAATGCTGGAAATACTGAAATGAGGCAAAAACGCACATTTCGTATATATTACCGACAGTCATCATGTTTCAGTTCGCTTTTTTAATGCTTCTTTCACTTTGAAGACCGGCAGACGAACAAAAAGTCATATTGCTGTTGTAAAACGCTTTCATAATCAACTCGCTGCGAAGGTGGAGCCATCGGGGAACCTCTTTTTCCAGCCGACGTTTCCACTCCCCCAATCCCCTTCTCTTTATCAAAAAAGAAACAAAATCGAGGCTCGCCAGGGAGTACACTCGGAAAAAATCGTCAGTCATTAGAAGTATTAAAAAAGTAATTAAATTGCAAGGAAAAATATTCCTTTTATGTACCTTTAACATTTTGGTTAGTACTTTGATTTTTTTTTAAATTTTTTAACTTTGTTAATTTTTAAAAAAAGTTGTAAGGCTTTTATTTTTTATGCAGCAAATAAATGTCATTTATTTTATAAAAATTTAAAAATATATTTGATTACTTAATGCAATTTTAGCCCTTGTTTTTCTGGGTGTAGGGAAATAGAAAACCACATTTCGGTCAATTTTTCGCCAAGTGTGGGACTGCCTCAATGCGCGTTATTTGAATTGCCATAAAATTAGTTTTTAATTTCCCAACTGACATTGGGAATAGAGCGAACCCGCAGTCAAGCCAACACTAGCCACATACAGAAAAACACAGGCAAACATTATTAATTTAGCTACCACTTTTGGTTGCCCAGCTGGTCTTCTTCTGGCCACTTTCGCATTTGCATGGCCAACTCGCATGGGGCCCATTAGATTTATGGCTCTAAGCCGCCGTTGTCTCGCTTTTTCGGCGGGTTGATTGATCCGAAAATTATGCACGAGCACGATAAAACCAGGAGATCCCAACAAACAAATCCGACCATCCATATCCACGATGATGAAGTCCGAGCGTGTCGCGTAATTAGCCTTTGTTATGCGAATTTCTTTGGGTGGCTTTTATCGTTGATTTATGGTCAACAGTTGGAGGTGGATGCTATCGCCTTGAAGATCAGTGCTCCAAGTCTAAACGAACAGTTCATCATTTTTCTGGTGCAGAGAAAGTTGTTCCCTCCTCGGATCACCACCGATCCCCATCTAGTGCGATATCATTTCCATTTCCCTTTCCTGACTGGCGCCGTCAGCATTTCCTCTCACTTGCATCATGCATTTTAAATATCGCCGAGTATCAAGGTGCAAGCTTTCAATATTGCTGCCAAGCAACTCGGGCTAAGGTCAAGCTCAAATCGTTCAGATCGGCATGGGGGGCCTGTCCCAAATAAATAAAACGAATTAATAAAAATATACATGTCTAATCTGTAAAGCTAAGTACATCCTATTTGGGAAAAATAATCACGAAAAGAAAGGTAGTATGGAAGAAGCGAAGTGAGCATTACCCTTATATATATTTATAAATTATCTAATATTTCAAAAAATATTTATGAAAAAAATCAGCTTAAAAAATAAAAACCTACATTATTTAATAAATTAGTAAATTGATTAATGGTTTTGGAATAGATTTGTATTTATTTAAAATTTAATTTCAAATGGCTATCCATCGAAATCGTCTTGGCGCTAATGAGCAGGCACACCGCTGACAATTTAATTACAGGGTATGCGAATTGGAAAGGCAGCTTAGCTTAATTTATGACCCGCTGACAAGGCACATTCTAATCAGACTCGCGAGTCGTCAGCAGAAGCGAAAATAACATTCACCTTCTATGGCCAAAAAATAAATAAATAAAAAGAAGAATGTGTAATAAAAACAAAGCGAAGTTGAATTTGTTATCAGTTTGTTTTTTGTTTGCCCAGCCAGGCCAATCGCGTGCCTCAGATGTTAATTAATTTAATTAGTCTCGCCAAGAAGAACCAAGAGATGACCTTGGGAGCGGTGGGTGATGGATAATGGATGATGGAGTGGGAGCTACTTGGCTGCACATTGTTTATGACTTGATTGTTCAGCTGCGAACACCTTACTTACCTGCCTTCTTCTTCTTCTTTGGCGAGTCAAGGTCACTGGTAGAAGATCTCAACGCGATGGCTTCTAATTTGAATTTTACAACATGCACTTACTTTTATGCTTTGCAATGCGAATAATGCTGTTTGTATTTGCCTGCCTTATTTATGGCCGCAGCTTGTGTAATTAATCTTCTGTGAAGCCGCAATAAATGCGAAATCCGAAATCCGAAATGCGATTTGCAGCATCAGAAGTGTACGTACTTGCATATACGAGTACTAAGTCACAGCCACATGGCATAAATTTCCTGCCTGCTTATTTATCATCTTGCCATTTTCATTTGGCGACTCTTTATGGCATTTTCTGTGGAAGTTAGTCACTGGGCTTAGTTAGTTAGTGGGTGTGTGAGGCCGATTGCTGAATGGATGGGTCGAGGTGCAGTCAAAAAGTGGCACTTACGGTCTTTGTTTGTGCTTCGTACTGCTCAACACAGCATTGAAGATGTGCAAATATTTGACTATTTGACAGACAAGTGCGGTAGACAAGTCCGAAATTAAGTCGTCAAGGAAAAATATAACAAATATTAAATACGCGGCAAGCATGAATGAAATGAGAAACACCAACTTGGAAGCATATTTGCATACTTTGCTCTTAAA